TGATGGATTCACCTCGCAGGTGAACTGCTTGCGATGGTCTCCGACTCACCCGGCGGTGTTTGTTGCGGGGGAAAGCAACGGCCGCGTCGCTGCGTGGGATTTATCGCGGAACTCGTTTTCCCCCGTGGCAGTGGTGTATTTGCGATCCGTCCCATCTGCAGCGGGGTGGGCGAGCACGCCTTCCGCGACAAGCGCGGTGAGTGCAGGCTCGTATCGCAGCGCAGCCGTCACCAACCTTGCGTTTTCGGACGACGGTGCGTGGCTTTCGTGCGGCACCGCCGCTGGCGAGATCCATCTGCTGCACCTGCGATCGGATCTTACGGTAGAGAATGCGGCGACGACGGCAGCCAAAGAAGTAAAGGCGGGCCCGCTATCTCGCGCGCGCAACGAGGAGGTAGCATTCAAGGATGGCTGTGATGACGCGACCGTGACTGCAGCAGCCGTTGGGCGTCATGCCACTTCCTCTTGGATTGACGCGCGGTTTGGCTTTTAGGTGGGACGAAGAAGTCGGGAGGAAATAAATGGAATCCAGAAAAGGGGGAGAGCACCCGTGACGTTCCTTTTTTTTTTTCTTCTTAGTTTTTGTCGGCGTTTGTTTGCTTGCACTTTGTGTCGTTGAGGAAGATCATGCGGGTGCGTCATGTAAAGCAGCTGCCAATTTTCTTTTTTTTCTTTTTCTCTTTCTTCTTTTACAATTATTATTATTATTATTATTTTTACCTCTTTGATGTTTGCGGCCTTCTCTTTAGCGGTTTTGTGTTGCCCCTTACAATCAACACATATCGGCTTCGTTGTTTAGAGTAAATAGGACTTTAGGCGTGCATCCACCCCTGTCGTTTTTCTCCAGCCCCGTCATTTGTAGCTTCCACTCATGTTCCGTCTTGCGGGATGGCGACTTGCCGCCGTTGCGTCCATGACGCCTTTGTTGCAGAAGGCAAGTATCAGCAAGAAAACAGAAGAAAATGCAATTGCCCAGCCTGCGAAGCGACGAATCGGCACAGTTGTGTCGTTTATGCATCGCCGTGGGTATGGCTTCATTCGCGAGTTGGAGTCTTCTCCGGGGAAGGAAAAAAAAACTCACAAGGCCGCTGCCGTGGCTCCAGCGGACGCGGACGCGCCAGGGAGTAGTGCGGCATCCAATTTTTTTTTCCCGCGATCATCACTTGACGGCGGGTTTTATGTGGCGGAAGGACAGACTGTCGCGTTTGATGTCCGGTTGACGGAGCAAAGCAAAAATATAAATGCGCGCCTTGCAGAGGCGAACATTTCTTCTTCCGCTGCCTCTGCCTCCTCAACACCGCTACGCACAGACGGTACCGACGAGGAGGTGGATGGCGAGCAGTCAAAGAAGCTCACTTTTGCTCACCGCATTCGTCTGTACGATGCTCGTGGCGGTAAAGAGAAGCCCGTGACACCCATAATGCTCGTTGGCTACGTTGAGAGCTGGGATCAGCTTGCAGGCAAAGGTGTCATTGCGGAATTGGACCTCAGCGGTCGTCTAAATGAGGATGCCCCTCGTTTCACTGTCGGTCTTGAGGACTTGGACCTTGCGGGGCACTCGGAGTTGCGACGCGGCCGCTACGTGCGTTTCTGTCTCGAATCTGGTGATCGCACTGCTGCGCGGCGTGTCATCATTGACCGCGGCGCGGAGAGGAAGCGTGCGGCGCAGTTGTCGGCTGCTGCGGAGGACCAGGTGGATGGGAATGATGGACGTCAATACGGCACCGTGCGGGAGATTGTGGAGGGTCGATTTGGGTTTATTCTTCTCGACGAGACGGGCGAGTCCGTCTTCTTTCACATGAGCAACGCCGAGGGTGGAGTGGTCAAGCAGGGCGACACCGTCTCCTTCATCATGCGTGAGGTGACGCAGGGGAAACACGCAGGGAAGAGGACATGCCTCCGGGTGAGACGATGCGCCGCGCGAAATTCCACCTCGTCCGCGGGGGCGGCGGCGGGCAACGGACAGAAGTCGAGGGCCGCGCAGGATTTTGACGACGACGACGAGTTTGAATTGCTGGAATAAATAAACAATATAAAAAAAAAAGTAAATGAATAGAGCAATAAGGAAAAGGACCGAGGCCGATTCGTAATGCAGGGGTGACTGTACAAAACGGAGGCAAGCAAACTGGAGGGGCGAAGAGTAAAACAAACGCCTTGCGTCACCAAATACGTACATCTATATATCTATATACATATTTATTTAAAGAAGAAGAAATAAAAATAACGACAATAAAAACAACAACAAGGTAGGTTTGAGAAGCAAAGCGTAAGCAGACGTACATACATACATACATACATACATACATACATACATATATATATAGGGTGATAGAGGGAAGGCTGGGTGGCGGGGAAAGATCCTCCCGGATGTGTTTTTACCGTTTCTTTGGGGGTTTTATGATGATTATTATTTTTTTCTCCCTGATTTGTTGATACTCGTCACCACAGGCCTTCTTTTTGTTTTTGTTTTTTGTTTGTTTGTGTGTGTGTGTGTGTGTGTTTCTGTGCATTTGTTTATTACAAAATCAAGCAAACTCCCCACAGACACACAAACAAAAAACCGGGTGGGGTCTACATGCACACTTCTGCATACATGTGCTTGCACGGTTACTCCACTCTCTCCACACTGCGTTTCCCAAGCATTTGGCAGACGACAACAGCAACGACGACATATGGTGCCAGAGAGAGAGAGAGTGAAAGAGAGAGTACACGTGTGCATCAACAGTTTTGTTTCTTTTCCTTTTTCTCTTTACATACAATACATACATACATATATATATCTGCGTAGATATGTACATGCGTATATGCGTGAGAGTGTCTGTCCCAAACAATTTTTTTTTTTTTTTTTTGTGTTTTCCCTTGATTCCGAACGGGGCAGGAAAAGCTTCTGTTTGACCAAAAATATAAAATTATTAAGGACGAGAAAAGAAAAAAAAAATCAAACCGGAGAGAACAACAACAACAAAAAGGGAAATTATGCGATTTAAGAAATCATTGACATGCATCGACATGCATACGGAAGGTGAAGCAGCACGGATTGTGACGAGTGGTTTGCCACACATTCCAGGTTCGAATATGGCGGAGAAGAAAGCATACCTGCAGGAAAACATGGATTATTTGAGGCGTGGCATAATGCTGGAGCCACGTGGTCATGATGATATGTTTGGAGCCTTTTTATTTGACCCTATTGAAGAAGGCGCTGACTTGGGCATCGTATTCATGGATACCGGTGGCTATTTAAATATGTGTGGACATAACTCAATTGCAGCGGTTACGGCGGCAGTGGAAACGGGAATTTTGAGCGTGCCGGCGAAGGCAACAAATGTTCCGGTTGTCCTGGACACACCTGCGGGGTTGGTGCGCGGTACGGCACACCTTCAGAGTGGTACTGAGAGTGAGGTGTCAAATGCGAGTATTATCAATGTGCCCTCATTTTTGTATCAGCAGGATGTGGTGATTGTTTTGCCAAAGCCCTATGGTGAGGTACGGGTTGATATTGCATTTGGAGGCAATTTTTTCGCCATTGTTCCCGCGGAGCACTTGGGAATTGATATCTCCGTTCAAAACCTCTCCAGGCTGCAGGAGGCAGGAGAACTTCTGCGTACTGAAATCAATCGCAGTGTGAAGGTTCAGCACCCTCAGCTGCCCCATATTAACACTGTGGACTGTGTTGAGATATACGGTCCGCCAACGAACCCGGAGGCAAAATACAAGAACGTTGTGATATTTGGCAATCGCCAGGCGGATCGCTCTCCATGTGGGACAGGCACCAGCGCCAAGATGGCAACACTTTATGCCAAAGGCCAGCTTCGCATCGGAGAGACTTTTGTGTACGAGAGCATACTCGGCTCACTCTTCCAGGGCAGGGTACT